AATTGGATGAGACAGGGTCTCAGGGAATCACCAGGGCGGAGCAAACAGAAATGTCTGTCAGTCAACTCTGACACTGTGAAGGTCCAGCACAGGAACAACGACTGCTGAGAGCATCTCCTTCTGAAAGCAAGCTGCCCTTGAGTTCCTGCCCTGATGCCAGACAATCCAGTTTCTCCTCATATGTTTCTGGGTCCCCCAGAGACTCGCCCAGCATGGGAGCTCAGAGGAAGCAGGAGCTTGTAAGTTAAGTTCATGGTGCTGGCCTTTTAAGAGGAGCACTTGGGTCTCCAGCAGCCTTTGTGTCACTGAGCCCCAATCCACACTGGTTTTTATAGCCAGTAGTTTCTACTGTCTGTGGGGACTTCTTTTCCCAGCTCTGGGACCCTGGGCTGAGAGTCTGGTGTGGTTTGGGACCCTTTGCTCCTCCCAGAGGCCTCAGCAGAGAGGATCCCGCTCCTGATTAAAAAAGCAGCACACCTGGGTGGCAGACCAGCCTGTTCTGCACCTCCGCAGCTCCTACCAGTTTCAGTGTGCTTTCTTCTTTGCTTCTCTCATTGTAGGACTTCTATTCAGCCAGCTTTCCGGCGATTCTGGATGATGGTTGTTCTGTATTTTAGTTGTAATTTTGATGTGTTTGTGGGAGGCGGCAAGCACAGGTGTTTGCCTACACCTCTATTTTGGTTCTCCTCCCCAAACTTCTGTTTTTGGAAAGTTTCTGATATTTTACAATCTCTTTCACTGGTCATACACAACACATAATTATAAACAAAATAATAAAATCTCGTATATCCCCAATTAAAGTCCAATTAGGAGAGAAATATTCTATGATTTTGTATGAAATCTAGAACTTTTGCCCTTTACTGTTTTTATTTATGGTGTCATGTTGATGATGAGAGTAATTATAATGTTAGAATAATTATTTACTGTAAATTAAACAAGTTTACATTTAGACAAATAACATATTTTTTATTACACTGCTGTGGTCATAAAAACTTTAATAATATCACAGAAGTCCAAAATTCATAGTTACTTAAAATAATTGAATTGATTTAACACATTTGCTCCTTTGTAAACACATCATTTAAATCAAATTTCTAAATAAAGTGTTTGAGCTCAGCAAGTGTTGCTCAGTGGTTGACCATCAACCTGTGAACCAGGAGATCAAGGTTCAATTCCCTGTCAGGGCACATGCCCAGTTTGTGGGCTTGTTCCCTAGTGTGGGGTATGCAGGAGGCAGCCAATCAATAATTCTCTCATCAATAATGTTTCTATCTCTTTCTCCCTCTTACTTCCTCTCTGAAATCAATAAAAATCTATTAAATAAAGCATTTGAGAAAGTTTGGAATACACTATGTAGAAAAGGATCAGGCATCTAGAATAAATAGTAAGTTGTTTTAACTCTTGTTTTTCTATGCTAGAGCACAGCATATTGGACATACCATTAGACACACTGCTTGCTTTGTTGTTCAGAAGGCTCAATAGAGTCCTTCCCACCTGTGTGCGTGTGGATCATTTACACACAATCTGTAACCCAGGAAGAGATACCAGAACCAGATGGTCTTAAGATGCCTGAGATAACAGCATCGTTCCCAGTCCCTGCCACCCAACGTAGAAGCATCTCTTTTCTCTTCATTTTCCCTTAGCCTGATGCACCTGGAATGATCCCAAACCCTTCCCCAGCACCATGCCTTATTCTGGATATAGAGCTGACAATGTCTACATTTATGCTGTCCTACTTTGAGGTTATTAATAGTGTTTCTCCATTATAAATAGCACCGGACCAAATAGCTTTGTGCATAAGTTGTTCTACATGTTTCACATTAAAATAAACCAATATGAAACCAATCTTTGCCAATTTGAACCCAGAAGGCATAGTTATTAAATATGTGTTACTCATGTAAAATGGTAAAGAAAAATATGGAAAATATTTATTTTATCTTAGTTAAATTCCTATCTGCCTCCTTCTCTTAATTTTAAGTTCCTTGAGGGCAAGGATTATGCTTTGAAATTTCTACATTTGCTGTGTGTCCAGAATTAACCTTTCATACATTTGGTAGAACTCTTAAATAGAATGGACAAATGCTTTGAATATTCAGTGAAGCAACATCTGTTTTTGCCTCCACAAACTACAGTGCATGTGAAAGATTTCATTGCCTCCACCTCCCACCCTAACATACAGTATCTGATGTCAACAGGTGATGCATTCTGGGGAGAAGAGCCTTGCCAAAGGGATTTCCCTTATTTACCGCCTCTTTCCATATGTTCCTTCCCTGTAGCATATCCTGAATCATGAGGCCCCAAGAGGTGATTGCAATCACTGAGATGACATGCCACACCTGGAATTCAGTACTCTTCCCTTATCAATTTCCCGTAGTTAAATGTCAAATCTAAGTTTATGGCTAAGAAACTCTGTTGTTTCTTTGCGAAGTCAAATATTGTGCTTAATATCAGTGTACCACTCATGTTTACTGCTTAAAATACAAGCAGATGCATAAGGGGAAACTAAACTACTTTAAAATCTGATAGAATTGACAAAATAATGTAATTGAGAGGATAGGATGTATGGTCTTATGACACTTCATCATTTCTCTTAAATATATACACAACTTCTATCTAAAGTTGAATCAGTTATGTGTTTAAAATATATAAATGAACTAACCATCCTAGGCTGATCTCTATGTACTATATTCCATATAAAGGAGAAAGTACTAAGTAACTTTTTCTTTTATTTTATTAATAGTGTGCATTAGTATATATGTATTTGTGTGTATGTGCATTTGTGTATATTTGTATATTCTCACATATACAAATATTGTATATTTACACATGTATTTCATAGTTTGCCGTAGTAAATTAATACATACATCCACATAGCCAATAGTATTCCTATTTAATGTAGTAACTTTATTTTTATTAACTCTCCTGTTCACCAGTAATAGATAATTCACATTTTTTCCTATTTTCTGTCTATAGTATCTTAATGTCTATATTTTTGTTCTGTGTCAGTTAAGCTAAAAAAGAGTACCTGTTTAAAATGGTTTTTATTTTTTTTATTTGCCTGAGAATAGCTCACTGAAGAGCTTAATGATAACATGTTTTAAATGCTCATTAAAAATATGTCATTTAGAAACAGTTACAATAGTATATCACTTAAGAATAAGCATTTTCTTCAATCATAGCAACAGTTACATATAATCAAATGCTTTATACCCATAATAATTATCTTAGATTTTTCTTATAGCAGAGTTATGATTTAATTTAAAAAATCAAAGATGATATTCACAGGATAGGTAATTTAATTTATCCTTAAGATAGATTTTAGTTACTGTTTTTTTTTAAATAACTGTCTAAATATCTCTTGCATGAAGAAACTCTAACAATTAAAATATTTCAGTAAAAAAAGAATATTTTTCTAATAGTTATCAATGTATCTAATTGCCATTGGGAGGCAACCAGTGAATGTTTCTCTCAGTACATTATAATTTTTATATAGTAAACCAAAATGTGTATTATAAGCCAGTCATACACTACCAAAGTGATGAAGTTCTGAGAGCAGTTTAAGGCATGGGAAAAGGGCAGTACTGAAATTAAAAACAATATGATATGTCTTTTAAGGCATCTAAAAATAATAGCTAACAATGTCAAGTACTTTTATAAGTCCTTTAACATGTATTGACTTATAGAATGCTCCCAACAGCTACATGGGGTTTGTATTATTACCTCCAAGTTTCAGATGAAGACACTGAGTCTGAGATACATTAAGTAACTTGCCCTAGATAACTCACTAGCCAGTAGAGGACCCAGGATTCATATCCATGTTGTTTGAGGTTTAAATGAGACCATTTGGTATTTGAGAGAGTAATGGACATTTTAATCCAGGAAGTTAATTTAAGGATTTTTCTATCCAACTTTCCCAACTTGTATTCCATGGTCTGTAAACTTTTCACCAAATGCTGCTGGGATCAAAGCTCCCATAGTCCAATACATAAGGGACAATAAAAAAATACAACATAATATTTTCCCCTTTACTCTTGAGAGGTACAGTGGGCATAACAGAGGCTCTAAGAAATCCAAAAGTGAAGAACTGTTTCAACCAGTGGTTTCCAGCCATCACTGACAAGAAAACTCTTGCGGAACACAAGTGTCACAGCCCCTAGTAATAGTGTCTCTTAGAACATAAATGCTGGCAATCTCCAGCCCTACTATTTAGCAGATAGAAAATTGAGGCCCAAAATGCCTTTGAGAACCCGGAATCTTACTTCCCAGTCCTGCACATGTTTTTATCTTACTCAGCTTTTGAATCAAGATGTAGGCACAACTGTTTTAGTTTAAGTCTCTTCTAAATTTCCACTTTTTTTTACTCTTTTCAACAAGAAAACCATCATTATGGTGAAGATTCATGGATAGAACAGATTGATTATGAATACTCCAGTTTATTTAATACAAAATATCCACAATAACCCTATCGGTTTCTGCTCAGTGGTTAGAGCGTTGGCCTGTGGACGGAAGCATCATGGATTCAATCTGTTCAAGGGCACATGCCTTGGTTGCAGACTTGATCCCTAGCCCTGGTTTGGACACATGTGGAAGGCTAGTAGTGGACGTGTTTCTCTCACATCAATGTTTCTCTCTCTCTCTCTCCTCCTCCCTCACACTCTCTCTGAAAATCAATGGAAAAAGAATATCCTTGGGTGAGGCTTAACAACAACAATAAAAAATATCCACAATAAAACTTTAATTTAAGCAACACTTAAACACTTTTGTTATTAAATATTACACATCTAAAATTTAGAAAAAATAAAACTAACCAACTAACAAAGAAAACTCTAAGAGAGTCTTGAGGAGCTAGAGAATCTATCTTTGGGGTACTGATCATGATCATAGGCCATAAGTGCATTCCACCACCCCAGCTTTAGTGCATGAGATCATGGAGTTATCATATATAGATCAACAGAATTTTATATATTTTTTTCTGACCACTGCATGTTTTACCATTCCAGTTCCTCCGAAGATATATGACATCTCAAGTGATATGACCATCAATGAAGGAACCAATGTCACCCTAATTTGTTTGGCCACTGGGAAACCAGAGCCTACCATTTCTTGGCGGCACATCTCCCCGTCAGGTAAAGCAGAACTATGCCAGTGTTGTTTGTGCTGTTCACTATTCTCCTTTAACCTCACTTGTTCCAAACTTGAGTCAATTTATTCTCTTACATCTTATTCATGAGGTAGGCAGGACGCGTATTTGGTATTTGTATACTTATTCTTTATACCTAAATGTTCTGTTGCTCACAAAAGTTAAATGAACATTTCCTGTCAGAGCCTGGAATAGAACCCGTGTCTCATGATTTTTAGTCAAAGTTATTTTCATCCTAGTATCCTGGAGAATTGCACATCCATAGACAAAAGGCCCAAATGGAAATATTCCAAGTGAAATATTTTCGTTGACATGTGTAAAGCTTTTCATTCTGTCCGCACGCACATGTTAATAGGCCATCATGAACGGCTAAGGGAATCAGGGGGAAATCACATTATACAAACTATGAGGTTGCTGCGTCTAATTTGAAAATGCAGTTCAGAATCAAGGATCTGGTAGTTAGAATTACATTTTCAGTGATGAAGGGATCTTAAAACCCAAGAGCTTAAGTGACTTGTACAAGACCATGTGCCTCTGTGGAATTAAGGGGCGTGACATGAAGAGAGGAAGTTCACCCTAGGAAACAGGATAATCATCCAAACACTTCTGTTTTCACAGCAGCGACTCTAACAGAATCATCAACTTGTGTCCGATTTTAACATTTGAACTATATAGCTTTAAATTTACCATGGACGTGAAGGCGGTGCTTTTAATGAACAGGATGCCACAACATTTCAGATAATGAAAATTGATTTTTATTTGTTCTATATTTTTAGTGGAAATAGTTTCAACAAGGCTATTGTGATGAAAATGCTTTTAAAGAAATCAGAAAGACACATTTTATAGAGGCATAGGAAGAGGACAGCTGGAACATCTATTTGATCTGCTAATGCTTTCTTTAATATCACTTATCCTTAAGTGTCTTTCAGTTTCCTCATTTATGCAGTAGGTCTGATGAGACTTACTCACATCATATGCTTAGTATTACTATTAACGTGAGAAGGAAATCAATATAACAGCAGTATACACTTATACGATACGCATTATGGTCTCTATAATGTTTCTGAAGCATGAGTGCACTCTTGACTGCAAACACTTCACTCTCGAGAGTGGCTACAGGATCATAAAAACTGGCATGTGAGCACTGAATTAGTGACAGGGCTCTCCGTGGAGTGTGAGACAAATGCAGGACTAACAGTTGGGATAAATGTGTCCCTATCGCCAATTCCCTAGTCATCAGTGCAACCAATGCTAGCGCAAATCGCTTAGCCTCGGTTATTCTCAGCTAGTTTCCTACTTTCCAAAATCAAATGATAATGATCCCTGGCTATTGTGAGACTGCAAATAGATACTAGGCCTAAACATGCTTTATAAAGTATAAGATGATATGCAAATGTATGACTGATTCTTAATCATCTTTCCAGGGGTTTAAATCTGATATGGTAATATATTTTTTTGTAAGAACGAGGCACAGAATCTCCATCTTTATACAATTTAAGATTAATATGTTGGATTTAACTCTCCTGCTTTGCAGTGCTTGTTATTATGCATAGTCTTCCTTTTAAAGTGCTTGGGTACATTTTAGTTTAATTAAATAGCATGAATATTGGTTAGTGAAGTTATTAGAATAATGATAATGCATAACATCATGAAGCTGAAAGAAGACAGATTGGGTTTATAAGTTAAACTGTACATAGATTTGTTTTCCTGATCCTGCCACACAGAGCAAATTAGAAAAATTAGCATAAGTATCAACTATTATCCAATAAATAGCTAGACATGGCTGATATTTTTATAAATGCTTCCAATATTTTCAAATTATAATTTGTTAACTATCTATATTTAAATGTGCAGAACTGTGGAGTTCCTGCTTTAAGTAACATGCCTGATAATTCTACTAGCTTTTGTCCATTTGTATATTTACATTTGAATGCTAAATTGTAAAATTCAGGTATGCTAATGTTTTACCTAAGAAATATCAATATTTTGTATATTCTCTTTTTTTTTTTAATTTTGCTATTTCATGAAAGAAATGTGGCTCAAAACAGCAGTCACCATATAAGCAAAGTTTAGTGTTAAAAACAGTTACGCAGTTGACCCTTGAACAATGCAGAGGTTAGAGGTGCTGGCACTGTGCATCCCAAAAGCCCCTTATAAATTTTTACTCCCTCAAAACTTAACTTATCCTTTGGTTATTTAGGGGTATTGATTCTAGGACCCCACCCCCCACCCTGACAGCACTAAAAGTTTCAGGCCCTATGTAAAATGGCCTAGATCCATGCGTATAGTGGGCCCTCTGTATCTGTGGACTCTGAAGCACTCATCAAAATTAGCACAGGGAACTTATTGACAAAAATCCACATATAAGCAGAACCGTGCAGGTCAAACCCTTGCTGTTCCAGGGTCAACTGTCCTCCCTGTCAACATTGGGAGAGATGTCTAGCTTTTGTACCTGTGTGATTTGTTTCCATCTTTTTACCAATACCTTTGGTAATTTTTGCCAACTCATTCATGGTCTATTTCCATTTTTAAAATTAACAAGAAATATGTAGTAACAGAATGATCACTCCACAGAGCTTCTCCCTAATCTACAGAAAACTTAGGTTGTGTGTTCCACCACATCGCAGACACTAATCACCTGAGGCCATTGGAATTGCTCTTTCACTTCTTAGTTCAAACAACTCAGTGCATTTTCCTAAAACTCATCTCTCCAGAGAACTGTCTTGGATATATGAGTTTCCTTAGAGTTTACATATACCAGTGATTTCTTTCTATTTTTTCTAGTCTATAGTCAGAGATTAATTTCAAATTTATATTTAAAAATTATCGCAGTATCATTTAAAGAACACACTATATCCTTTATTCAGTTTCATTCATGATCATTTTTCCCATTTGCTTCATCATTTGCTATGTGTAGAATATGTAGAAAAATACACGTTATTATATTTTCATTCCTGATCATTTTTACTTCCTCAAAACTTAACTTGTTCCTTGGTTATAAAAGGAGCATTGGTTCCGGGACCACTACCACCCCCAGACACCAAAATTTGCAGATGCTTAAGTGTGCTATATAAAATGGGGGACTTATAAGATCAGCGCATACAGTGGGCCCTCTGTATCTGTGGACTCTGAAGCGCTAATCAAAATTTTCATTCATGATCATTTTCCCCATTTGCTTCATCATTTGTTATGTGTAGAATATGTATAAAAATACATGTATTATACCTTTTCATTGAATTGTTTGAAAGCAACCTGTATTTATCATGCTCTCTTCTCCCCAGTTATTTCAGTGTGCATTTCTGAAGAATTAGGACATTTATTACATAACCACAGATGTTCATATGTCTAACATTGTCATTATACTTGTATTCCACTGCTATCCATCTTCCAATTCTGGCAAGTGATCAAATAGTGTCCTTTATGGAATTCTTTTTTCTCTATTATGGAATCCAAGTTTTGTATGTAGTTGTCATATCACTTTAGCCTGGGGACTAATTCTTTATCTTTCTTTGTCATTACTGAACATTGATATTTTTTAACAATGTGTGTACCCTTTATTTAAAACAGAATATTTCTCATTTTGGGTTTGGCTCGTTTCTTCACGATTGCATTCTAGTTATGCCCATCTGGAAATAAATAAATGAAGTTGTAACCTTCTCAAGGAATGATATCTAGAGGCACAGGATATCCATCTGTTCCTTATTTTTTTATGTTAATTTCCATTACTCAACAAGATGTTGTCTGATTTCTGTACTGTGTAGCTATTTTTTTCTTGCCCTACGCTACCAATAAGCAGTAGGGGAAGATTTTAAGATCATAACATACAAATATCTGCTACTTGTCCACCTTACACTTAGATTTAGCATTACCAGTGATTCTTTTGTGAACCAATCTTTACCCTAATAATCATCAAAGAGGATATTTTCAAGCTGAAGTACTCTTTTTACTGTCACCAATTAGCACTTGGCATTATGCTGTCAACATGAGCCTCATTTCCCCCTGTTATTTATTTATTTGTTTATTTATCTACGTATTATGATATAGACTTATGGATTCCTAACTTTTAAAAATTATTATAGTTCATTACTGTTCTAATTATTTTGATGCTCAAATCGTCCCTTATTTGGCCAGTGGGGTGACTTCATTCTGACTCTTGTGTTGTTGTGATATGTCCCATCATTTTTTTTTTTAGCATTTTTATTTTTCCTTCATGATAAAATATGCCAGACTCATCTTGTGTCTTTTTTGCCCCAGCTCTGGAATCAAGCACTTCACTTACTGCAAATGATTAGAAAGCATACACTTGGGGTTAGTATCATTACAGATTGGTTTATGATAGCTAACAGTTAGTCGGGCTTACAGCAAAATTATCAGAGACTCAGAGGCCTAGGCTACTTCCTGTGATATTATAATAACCACAAGACCTGACATAACCTCAGTGCAAAGGGTAGACTATATTTTATTTGGTTTATTCTAACAATTAGCATGGAACGGGGCCAGCAATGTTGTGTGTATACAAAAATGCTTATGGAATTAATAGTAAAAATATTTATATTAAGGAAAATATAAATAGGAAATTGTTCTTTTGATGGAGATTTAAATAGGTTCATACATCTTTGTTCATAAGAAATCCAATTGTTTTAAGTAATCTCTGATCTACTCAGAAAATTTTTAAGGTTTTTCCCAAATCCCTAACATAAAATATATGATTTGTTCTTATTCTTATCAGTAATTTATTATGCACCAGGTAGTACCAGAATAGCAGGGATAAAGATCATGAACTTTGATGATAATCAGAATTGAATTTAAGACACCGGTCTTCTCATACCAAGTGTAAGATCTTAGACAAAATTGTTAACCTCTTTAATTTTAAGTAATAAGTGATGATAATAATTCATAGAAGTATTATGGGGACTAAATAGAATGTCATAGGGTATTGAAAAGATTTCATAACTTTGAGCAAATATTCCATAATATTAACTATTC